AGAGAGAGAGAGGTGTCATGTACTATCATGTGTGTATTTCTATAGATATGCCTTGTAAACAAACTTACCATTTCCAGTACTTGAGAAGGAGGACACAGTGAGTAGGTACTTGCTGCTTTCATCCCCAATATAAAATGTAGTGTATCTGGCCTCCGCCGTTTGACCGTTAAAACGTTGAAGATTAACTACAAGGTCTTTGTTCTGGTCCTTTGTTAAGTGATATAGAACTTCATTTCCTAGGAAAAATAAGTTCAGTAACTAAAATGATGGAAATGAGTATGCATATATTGACATTAAATAAAATTAAATGGATTTTGATATATTTTTAATTTGTACCGTGGGTGTATAATTTTTAAAATCTTGGCCGAAAGGGGTAGTGTGAGTCACAAAAAAAATAGAATCAAAAAACATAAGATATTGAGAATTCTACACAAGAACAAAAGAGCACAGATGCATAAGCTAAATTGTTAAAATCTGATCCCCATTTTTCACTCAGCAGAGAGTCAAAGATTTTGATAGGTTTGTTTGTATATGAAATTATATTTTATATTCGCCATAAGACCGATAACCATAAAGATTGATTGGCTGTATTTTCTTTAACGCAAAGTCGGCAATATTTCAGCTATGTTTCGGCGTGGTAGCCAAAAGAGCCGAGCTGTAAGAGGAGGTAATCATTATAGCCGGGCTGTAAGAGGAGGTAATCATTATAGCCGAGCTATATGGGGAGGTAATCATAATAGCTGAGCTGTAAGAAGAGGTTATAATAATAGCCGAGCTATAAGGGGAGATAATCATAACAGCCGAGCTGTAAGTGGAGGTAATCATAACAGCCGAGGTGTAAGAGGAGGTAATCATAACAGCCGAGCTGTAATTATAAGAGGAGGTAATCATAATAGCCGAGCTGTAAGAGGAGGTAATCATAACGGTCGAGCTGTAAAAGGAGGTAATCATAATAGCCGAGCTAGAAGGGGAGGTAATCATAACAGCCGAGTTGTAAAAGGAGGTAATCAAAATAGCCGAGCTGTAAAAGGAGGTAATCATAGTAGCCGAGCTGTAAGGGGAGGTTTTCAATCTGTTTCATATTTGGATGTCTATAGAGTAAGTTATAAGATACTTTATACTTAAACACCATATGTACGTGATAGCGGTTTATTACTTACATATTAAAATAAGGGAAATTGACGATGGATTAGCTAAAGTAATCTTATTTGTCATACAATTTAGTCGTTAGTTGGGTGTTATCGTCTAATGTAAGTTAAGAAAACATCTAAATATGAAACAGATATACATTTACCGTAATCTGTGTTGTCTTTTACATCAATTTCACTGGAAGACATGTTTATCAATTTGACATATGAATGGAAGTCACTATTGTTAATTGATAAAGCATTGTTAATATATTTAAGCGTCTAGTTAAAGGCAACAGCAAATGTTTTCTTCTTCTCGTGTATAGAAGTTTTCGAAAGAATTATGTTTCTCGGGAAGACTAAGAAGTCGGCTATTCAAGAAGCATAATTAGTACCCATCTAATTTCCAACCGTAAAGGAGCCTAATTCAAACAGATTATTGGAAGACTTGGTCTCTGATGGCTAAATAAAATACAATGTTGTCAATGAAGAACTCCAGTATCAATTCAATATCAACTTCAGAGTAGTTATGTGTAGAATCAGAGAAATTTAAAACATAGTAATTTTGTGGATGACCAATCACAAGATAGGAACATTCCGGAGTTCTGATTTTGGGGAAGAAGCTGTTGTCTATAAACTCATATAGCCTAGTTCTTAATTAAATCAACAGCTTAAAAACTTACTTTTCAACCTTATAGACAACCATTACCCAAGATAAATTAAAGTCCAAGCTTTTTGATATCACTGATACCTGCTTTTTCAATAAAATTGAACTCGTAAATTAACCTACCTTGTCATTACCTTGTCATCGCCGTTGTCAATTCAGTGTATAAATAATGGACTAACAATTGGTATGAAAAACGACAGTCAGTATTTGACTCAATGATAAATTGTATTTCCTGACAAGGTCATTGTATCGGCCATAGAACTTACGAAATGATGACTTTAAACGAGACTGCTGATATTCTTGTTTCATCAATTTGCTTGTCAATAATTTACCTCGTTTTAGAAATTGTTCATACGTAGAGCATGCTCTTGCGTATCGAATCAACTGAGATATTTATACTTTGTATCCAGGTGACGAAGGGATATTGCTGCATAAGTAAGGGAAGTTGACGATAGAAAAGTTAAAGTCGTCACGTTTATCAAATAACTTGGTTGTTAGATTACCATTAACGTCTTTTTTAAGTAAAAGATCCAAGTATGAAACAGACGTGTCAGTCTCTGTGGTATCTTTTATCTCAAGCTCACCAGGATATATCATGTTGACGTAGGAATGGAAATCACCATTGTTAATTGACAATACGTCGTTGATATATCTAAATGCCGAGTTGAAGACCACAGCAAGTGTTTTCTTCTTTTCACGCATAAGATTTTGCACAAATTCTGATTCATATGGATATAAAAATAGGTCCGCTAATAACGGAGCGCAATTGGTACCCATGGGAATTCCAATAGATTGTTGGATTACCTGGTTTCCAAAAACCACGTCATTGTCAATAAGAGACTCAAGCATGTGTTTTAACAAAATAATTTTGCAAATGACCAAAGACCAGGTAAGTTAATTTAAGAGTTTCATTTTTATCAAAAAAGCAGCAGTCAATGATATAAAAAAGTCTAGACTTTAATTTATCATGGGGAATGGTTGTATATAAAGTTGAAAAGTCGTAAGTTTTTAAGCTATTGATTTTTGTATGATATTTTGATTTCAAATTGTCCAAAAGTTCTTTTGAATTTTTGAGTATCCACTTCTTGAATATATTATTACACAGTACTCCTGAAGTTTTTCCTTCACTACTGTCAATATCTTAGTGAGGAGTAACGAAAGAGGCTTGGCTGAACATTTACTGGAACCCGCAATGTATCTTTGTTTGTAAGGATTTTTATGAAGTTTCGGAATCCAATATATATATAGGGTAGTTCAAATTCCTTTTGGCTCTGTGGAATATTAAAAGTATTTAAAACTGACATTTACTTTTGAAGAATTTCTTCCTTAGAAAGGGAAGTATGAGTATAAGTAGGATAACCGCTTGTAGAATTAAATCCAAGTTCTTCTAAAATACAATTTATATAATGAGCCTTACAAACAAGGACAATGTTGGTACCTGCTTTGTCAGCAGGGACCAGTACATACTGATCATGTAATCTATCTATTTCTTTTTTCACTTCTGGATTATTCAATACAGAAGGATAGATGGTTACTGCCCCTAAATCTTTAAATGCGCGACCTTAACATGGATCTAATACATTTAATCCATTCTGACAAGGTTTCAACGTTTTCAGTTTTCATAACTAGCCCATCGTCTGGCGCAATTTTCAACAGAATCCGTAATATTTCTGAAATTCCGATGCCAGTTGAAGGATCGGGGTTCCCTATATTTAAAATATATCAAAATAACTGATGTAAGGTCCTCATTATTAACTATATTTACGTCACCGGTAATAACGTGACCAGCAGGACTATAGTTATAGGGCGGCGAAGAAGGTATACTCAGCGACGGACTATTTGTGTGGTGATAAATCTTGTTCAATTTATCATTGAGTCAAATGCTACAAATTCTTAGGCCATGTTTTACACACTGAATGGACGACGGAATTTTCCTTTATTTCCCGATCAAGGAGCACACTGTGTTTAGACCGGTCGGCATGAGATGTTCACTCCTCCATGGCACCTGATTCCGCCTATGATGTTTTAGAGGTCCGTGTTTGCTATGCCCCTAATATGTATTGTTTAACTTTTTTATAGATTTTTGATCTTGAAGACTGTTTGTTGTCTTATTTGTTTCATATTGCCTATCATGTGATTTTTCCGACCCAGTTTTACCTTTCTAATTATCTTTACTTATCCAGTGATGTTTACCGATCCAGTTATCTTTACCTATCCAGTGATGTTTACCGATCCAGTAATCTTTACCTATCCAGTAATGTTTACCTCTCCAATTATCTTTACTTATCCAGTGATGTTTACCGATCCAATTATCTTTACTTATCCAGTGATGTTTACCGATCAAGATATCTTTATCTATCCAGTGATGTTTACCGATCCAGCCATCTTTACTTATCCAGTGATGTTTACCGATCTAGATATCTTTACCTATTCAGTGATGTTTACCGGTCCAGTTATCTTTACCTATCCAGTGATGTTTACCGATCCAGTTATCTTTACCTATCCAATTATCTTTACTTATCCAGTGATGTTTACTTCTCCAATTATCTTTACCTATCCAGTGATGTTTACCTCTCCAATTATCTTTACTTTTCCACTGATGTTTACCTCTCCAATTATCTTTACCTATCCAGTGATGTTTACCGATCCAGTGATGTTAACCTCTCCAATTACCTTTACCTATCCAGTGATGTTTACCTCTCCAATTATCTTTACCTATCCAGTGATGTTTACCTCTCCAATTATCTTTACCTATCCAGTGATGTTTACCGATCCAGTTATCTTTACCTATCCAGTGATGTTTACCTCTCCAATTATCTTTACCTATCCAGTGATGTTTACCGATCCAGTTATCTTTACCTATCCAGTGATGTTTACCTCTCCAATTATCTTTATTTATCCAGTGATGTTTACCTCTCCAATTATCTTTACCTATCCAGTGATGTTTACCTCTCCAATTATCTTTACCTATCCAGTGATGTTTACCTCTCCAATTATCTTTACCTATCCAGTGATGTTTACCTCTCCAATTATCTTTACCTATCCAGTGATGTTCACCGATCCAGTGATGTTTACCGATCCAGTTATCTTTACCTATCCAGTGATTCTTTACTGATCCAGTTATCTTTACCTATGCAGTGATGTTTACCTCTCCAGTTGTCTTTACCTATCCAGTGATGTTTACCGATCCAGTTATCTTTACCTATCCAGTGATGTTTACCTCTCCAATTATCTTTACTTTTCCACTGATGTTTACCTCTCCAATTATCTTTACCTATCCAGTGATGTTTACCGATCCAGTGATGTTTACCTCTCCAATTACCTTTACCTATCCAGTGATGTTTACCGATCCAGTGATGTTTACCGATCCAGTTATCTTTACCTATCCAGTGATGTTTACCTCTCCAATTATCTTTACCTATCCAGTGATGTTTACCGATCCAGTGATCTTTACCTATCCAGTGATGTTTACCTCTCCAATTATCTTTACCTATCCAGTGATGTTTACCTCTCCAGTTATCTTTACCTATCTAGTGATGTTTACCTCTCCAATTATCTTTATTTATCCAGTGATGTTTACCTCTCCAATTATCTTTACCTATCCAGTGATGTTTACCTCTCCAATTATCTTTACCTATCCAGTGATGTTTACCGATCCAGTTATCTTTACCTATCCAGTGATGTTTACCTCTCCAATTATCTTTACCTATCCAGTGATGTTTACCGATCCAGTTATCTTTACCTATCCAGTGATGTTTACCTCTCCATTTATATTTATTTATCCCGTGATGTTTACCTCTCCAATTATCTTTACCTATCCAGTGATGTTTACCTCTCCAATTATCTTTACCTATCCAGTGATGTTTACCTCTCCAATTATCTTTACCTATCCAGTGATGTTTACCTCTCCAATTATCTTAACCTATCCAGTGATGTTCACCGATCCAGTGATGTTTACCGATCCAGTTATCTTTACCTATCCAGTGATTCTTTACTGATCCAGTTATCTTTACCTATGCAGTGATGTTTACCTCTCCAGTTGTCTTTACCTATCCAGTGATGTTTACCGATCCAGTTATCTTTACCTATCCAGTGATGTTTACCTCTCCAATTATCTTTACTTTTCCACTGATGTTTACCTCTCCAATTATCTTTACCTATCCAGTGATGTTTACCGATCCAGTGATGTTTACCTCTCCAATTACCTTTACCTATCCAGTGATGTTTACCGATCCAGTGATGTTTACCTATCCAGTGATGTTTACCTCTCCAATTATCTTTACCTATCCAGTGATGTTTACCGATCCAGTTATCTTTACCTATCCAGTGATGTTTACCGATCCAGTTATCTTTACCTATCCAGTGATGTTTACCGATCCAGTTATCTTTACCTATCCAGTGATGTTTACCGATCCAGTTATCTTTACCTATCCAGTGATGTTTACCGATCCAGTTATCTTTACCTATCCAGTGATTCTGAGAAGGATTTCCAAATCCTGCCTTGTACTCTTCCCAAGTTCTAAAAAAATCTGTTGATTGATCCTCTCGCCGCTGTATGACCTACCAAAAACGTTAGTTATCGAAAATTATTTGAGTAGATTTTTGTTAGGCATGTTTTACAAGATAAATGAAAGAAAGGAAATACCTATTCCAGGTTTCAGGTTTTATCCCATTCATTGATATTTAAACATTTTATCAGAATAAACATCTTGTAGAATTTGATTTTTTCTTCCGCATTTGGATATCAAAAATGATGTGCCATATTTATAAATGTCTTTACATAAATAGATTGATTAAGAAGAACTCACTGTCCACCCGCCACCGTTTGTCGTCATATCACAGAAGACTTGTTTCTGGGTCGTACCATCCGGGATAATTGTATACACTCCGTCATTTCCGCTGGCACCGGGGTCTGCCCTCAAAACTGCAGAGCAGTCTGCCAATGCTAGTCAATAGTCAAAAGTAATAGCGTTGTGTTGATGGTTAGTCTGTCAGTGTTAATGAACGAGGAATAGCGTTGTGTTAATGATTAGTGTACCAGTGTTAATGAACGAGTAACAGCTTTATGTTAATAAGTCTGCCAGTGCTAACGAACGAGTTATAGGGTTATGTTAATGATAATGTTAATGATAAGTGTGTGTCAGTGCTAATGAACGAGTTATAGCGTTATGTTAATGATTAGTGTGTCAGTGCTAATGAACGAGTTATAGCGTTATGTTAATGATAAGTCTGTCAGTGTTAATGAAGGTGTAATAGTGTTATTTTAAAGATTAGTCTGTCAGTGTTAACGAACGAGCAATAGCATTAGGTTAATGATTAATGTGCCAGTGCTAATCAATATGTAATAGCGTTATATTAATGATCAGTTTACCAGTGCTAATCAACACGTTATAACTTTTTATGTTAGTGATTAGTCTGTCAGTGTTAACAAACGTGTAATAGCTTAATGTTAATGATTAATCTGCCAGTGCTAAACAACGAATAATAGCGTTATGTTAATGATTAATCTGCCAGTGTTAAAAAACGAATAATAGCGTTATGTTAATGATTAATCTGCCAGTGCTAAACAACGAATAATAGCGTTATGTTAATGATTAATCTGCCAGTGCTTAACAACGAATAATAGCGTTATGTTAATGATGAGTCTTGCAGTGTTAATCAACGTGTCATAGTTTTATATTGATAATCACACACATTTCTGAAACAGTGTACCAGTGCTAGTATAAATTTTAACCGTAGGAAACCTTTCGTGTATCCTTAACAGAAAGCTTGTTACATTCATCCTAAGTAGCACCGGCAGACTGATCCATCAAAAGCTATGACATGCTGACAAGCACTGGTAAAATGCTTCAAAGATTTTATGTGATCATTAACATAATAATATGTAATAATAACATTATAATAGTAATAAGTATATCAATAAGCAGTGCATCATTTCAAAGCATTTTACATTTCATTCCTCAAAGTTGTCATTTTGCCTCAGTGTTAATCAAGGATTGAATGTAAAACGGTATCTCAAATTTTTGATAATTGTTTATTTAAAGTTTACATTTATTTGTACTCCACAGTAATAAATTTATTAGCATAATCTAATACTACCATTTATAACTTCTTAAATCAGCAAAACATTAAAAAATCTTAGATATACTTAAATAAAGCTTGGTTATTTTTAAGAGAATTAAGTCCAAAAAAGGGTTGCTGTGTGAGATGTATGGAGATAACAAACATTTTTCAAGTTCAGAAGTCTATTAGTAGAGTCCCTGTAATGTGAATACTGATAATATCTCTATGGTCATTCCTCAAGTAGTCAAAGTGGTTTATTGCGTGTTTCATGATCAATCTGTCACAAATCAAATCAGAAGCTTCAATAGCTGAAAAGTCACATATGGAGTGTTAATTCTCTTTTTCTTTTTGTTGTTTAGCGAAATAGTTCATAAAAGGAAAGAATTTGATATTCCTTATAAAGCACTGAAAACCGTTGACTTGGTAAAAGAAAAATCTCATAATTGTTAAACATTTCCATTTCTATTTTTTTTCTCTGTGATAACTCTTTGAAAGTTGTCGGAGTTTATTTCTTATTAATTCTGTCGGAATGTAAATCAGGCAGGTCGATAGGTCAGGAGATAAGGAGGCCTAATACGCATGCAAATCCCGTGCGCATCTGTCTCTGTGTCTGACGCTAAGGAGGCCAAGTATGCATGTAAATCTCGTGCGGCTGCCTATGTGTTTGACGTCAGTAGGCGAGGACCGTTATGCAAATTATTCCATGTTTCCCACTATCGTTGATGCCCTGGCATACTATACTAACTAGACAGTGATTCCTTAAATATCTGGGGAAAAAAAGCATTTGGTGTATCCTTAATGATCACAAAATCTCTGAATTATGTTTATGTTGGTCAGCAGGGTGTTTTAGCTTTAAATTAATGATCACACAAAATTATAAAGTCTACCAGTGCTGGCAGAGTGAACTAGCTTTATGTTAATATTGGAGAGAGAGAGAGAGAGAGAGAGAGAGAGAGAGAGAGAGAGAGAGAGAGAGAGAGAGAGAGAGAGAGACTCTGCATTGGAAGACTACAGGTGACCATTGTCCGTCGGCCTGACAAGTTGTGGAGGGGTCCCCGGACGAGCCGTAACCCGCGACACAAGATGTGTATCGGTATGAAGACCCCACGGGGAATGGACCCGAGGGAGGGGGACCCTGTGCGTTCGGTATGACGGGAGGAGACCCGCAGGTAACTTCTGAAATGATGAATTTTATTTTACTGACAGAAATATGTATTGGACAAGTATATACGCTATATAAGCAATAAAGAATATTTCTGATTACTCGTCCACACTCATGCGATGTCATGGCTCATTGATCCTTTGAATCTCATAAATTACATTTTCTGTCAGTTTTCTTCATGTGCTGACTTTTATACAAGGTCTAAGGACACACCGAGTATGCTTCAAAAACTGACACACTGACTGGTTTTCATCGATCTCTCACTCACTCACACATCCCCTCCCTTGCAAACATACTGAACTTTGACTTTACATCCGCTTACTAATAAAAACGTTTGCTCTTTCACAGACACACTCGCTCACTCAAAGACAGGCTCGTTCACTCACAAACACGATCGCTCATTCACTGATACGCTCACTCATTCAAAGACACGCTCGCTTATTCACAGACACGCTCGCTCACTCACAGAAACACTAGATTACTCCGTGCTTTATTTACTTACCTGTTTCTTCGCCATTTCTCTGTGATTGTTGCGTTGGCGTTCTTGGAAAGGTAATAAATAAAACTATCCCTGTCAGAAGTGCAATATCGTTTACGACCTAGTCAACCACTCCATCTATAAAAAGACACAGTTTGCTCAAAATATTTTATTTCACACCTGAAACAGACACTCGCGTTTATGCTTGTTAAGGAAAATATTATGCCAGATCAAATGTACCAAAAATAAATATTGAAGCGAAAGAAAAAAAATATTTATTTTCAGTGTATGCAACTTACTCTGAGATGCTATCAAGGCAATACTTCCTGCCAGGGACGCTAGAGCGATCTGATTGGTGGACGCATCTATCGCCTGTATGTTGTTAACATCGGATACGAAAATCACCAGAAGACCTGCTAAAATGCGCATGTCGTTTCCTGGTTTCATCATCATACCTAGACATTCAGTGATTGATTTCATGTGCATGCACTGTAGCAATAAATATTGATAAGATATTAATGAGTGATTTTTTTCTTCCCTTATGAAAAAGAATACCTTGACACAGAAGGAAGATGGGTTTTGAAATTTTGTGTTTAAAGGTCGAGGAACAATATGAAAACCGTATATCCTTCTATCTTAAAAATTCAGAGGTAAAGAAGAATAAGACAGACTGCACGAATTAAACGTACAGGTCCCAGCTATCAAAGCAGGTAAAGTGCATAGTCTTTGATTGTAAGGTTGTAAGGGAACTTGGATTTCATTTAAAAAAAAATGTTAATCTAACTATTACACAGAGTTCCCTTTCTAAGGAATAAATTCTTTAAATTCTACCCCCTTTCCCGAAAAAATAGACAGGTTACACGAAGATAGGAACAGATCTAAGTGACAGAGCTGGTTATATCATAACACTGTTATATTTGTAAGATTCGTTATTACAACTGCATTTTAGCATGTTTAGAGGTACTTGGATTTTATTCTATAAATGCAAATCCAACTTAAACTCATAGTTCTCTTTGTTAGTAGGAAATTAATCAAAATCATGTCACTTTTCAATTTTTATTATATTCCCATCAACTAAATCGAATTTAAATCGCCTTATCTATACTAAATTCCTAAATGAATAAATAGTCTTTAAAAGATACATAGTGCGTTTTAGATGATGTTCTACCAAGCCCCTTTCTTTACCCCTCAAATAAAAATTAGAATACTGACAGCACTGAAAGGAGAAAGTTCAGAAGTACTGTACAATGACGTATTAGAGAAGCAGTGTAAATCACACGTGGATGCAAAGACAACTCCACGGAACTTTTAGGGAATTTAATATCACAAAATTTTACCAAAATAAATACATGTAGCATCAAACATAGGACTTTTCGACACCATAGACAACTGCTTTTTAAATAAAAATGAAACTTGTAAGTTAGCATATCTTTTCATTAGTCATCTGCAACCCTAATTTGTTAAAAAAAAAATCAAATTTTCTACAGACAACTTCCTTATTTATATAGTAAAACACAATTATCACCGGCATACCTCTTCAAGTTGATACAATTTGCAAGAACATGTTATAAATGCAATTTCTAAAACTAGTCAAACTGATGATACAGGGATTGGAACAATCTCTCAATGCCAATATTTCACAAAGTCTATGGTCGATACAATAACCTTGTTTGCAAATACAATGTATCGTCAAGTCGAATGCTGACTGTCTTCTTTTATACATATTGCTAGACCATTATTTCATACAGATGTAGAATATGGAGATAATGAACAGTATTCAATATCAAAAAAAAGGAGCAGAGCAAACACGGACCTCCGAAACATCAGAGGTGGGATCAGGTGCCATGGAGGAGTGAGCATCCCCTGCTGACCGGTCACATCCCCCGTGTTTTCCTTGTCATGATCGGGAAATAACGGAAAAATCCGTCGTCAATTCAGTGTATAAATAATGGACTAACAATAAGTATGAAAAACGTCAGTCAGCATTTGACTCAATGATAAATTGTATTTGCTGACAAGGTCATTATATCGACCAAAGAAATTACGTAATGATGACTTTAAAAAAGACTGCTGAAATTCTTGTTTCTTCAACGTTTTAGAAATTGATTAAACATACCCTTATTTATCGTTTCCTACATTTTACTTTCGTTTTATGCGATCATGACAATTAAGGGCCACACAGTGGTTGTGACCGGGAGACAAAGATAGTTTGCTTCCCTATGGCACTTCTATTTTCAGAGGACCTTGTTGGCTCTGTCCATACATTGTATTGTTTAAATGCCCTTTTGAGATCACACTTATATAATTATCACTGTTATTAAGGTCAAGACGATAATTCAGAATTTTGAAAAGTAAAAGACTTATCGAGCTCAAAGGGAAAAGTAAAAATGTTTGATGGTGGAAAATTATCGTACTTAAAACAAAAAAGAAGAGCAATAATTGATTTAAAAAGGATTCAATTATTAAATTGATACAAACGGAATAAACAGAGATTTTTTTTGTTTAAATTTGCTCAAGTCCTAGTCAAACGCAATGAGGGAATCGGAGTTTACATTTGAAATCTATTGTTGGTGCAATAATGACCATAAACATATTTTTGATGAACCCTTTAAAACGATTGTAGATATAAGGGGGGTCATGTTACTCTATTCTATTAAAAGGTTACAATATAGGAGCAAAAACGGACCTCTAAAACATCAAAGGTGGGATCAGGTGCCATGGAGGATTGAGCATCCTCTGCTGACCGGCCATTCACACTGTGTCCTCCTGGTCATCATTATGGTTATTTCCATTCTTATGTCGATACGATATACCCTGGCGAGCTTGAGATTGAAGATACCACAGAGTCTGACACATCTGCTTCATTTTATTTTACTTGGAAAGGACGTCAATGGTAATATAACAACCAAGTTTATGATAAACGTGATGACTTCAACTTATCAATCGTCAACTTCCCTTTCTTATGAAGCAATAAACCTTCATCACCTGCATACGGAGTGTATATATTTCAGTTGATTCGATACACAAGAATATGCTCTACGTTTGTACAATTTATGGGATCACATACCTGATGTTATCAGGTAAATTACTGACAAACTAGTTGATGAAACAAGCATATCAACAGTCTCGTTTAAAGTTATTATTTCTTAAGTTCTATTTTCATTGAATCAAATGCTGACTGACATTTTTCATAGTAATTGTTTGTCTATTATTTACACACTGAATTGACAACGGTGGATTTTTCAGTTATTCCCTGATCATGACAAGGAGCACACGGTTGGTGTGACCGGTCGGCAAGGGATGCTCTGTTACAACGCACTTTGAAAAATTACGCACTTTGAAAAAAAAATTCAAAGTGCGTTAAATTTGGGACCAAAACAACGAAAAAAAAAATTTCTCTTCAAAGTGCGTTAATATCGACCATATTAACACACTTTGAAAAAAATGTGTATGGATTGGTCAATATTCTTTCAAATCTTAGGTATGATAGATACTTGAACGTGTTGGGTAACTTTTCGGTGATAAGGTCACTTCAGGATGTGAAAGAAAGCGGTTTTGATTTTTCCATAATTTGAAAATTCTTTCTCTCCTAAATGTTTTACTGTACTTAATTTTTTCCAGTTTGCATACATTTCATGTAAACTTAAATCTATTGAAAGTTTTCAATATCGTACTAGTTATGCAAATACATATATTTTGGTGTAGCGTATGCATCGGTGCCGTGAGGGGGGGGGGGTAGGTACACAAATGTTTTGCAAAGATATACATTATATAGGTATTGAAAACTGGGGCTTATCTTCGGGGGGGGGTTCCACTTTCAATTTGCTACCGACGGCTATGTATAAGAAAAAAAGAGTTGGACTGAAAGAATTTAGTTCTCCTCGTCTTCTCCCTGTTTTCCTTGTTCTTAGAGAAATGTAATCAATACATGCAAATTCAAAGGTTTTTTGAAAGATATAATTATTACAAATTGATTCTCTCAATTACTAATATCTAAGTGTAGGATTTTTGGTTTTTTTTTTTTACATTTTTTTTTCAAAGTGCATTAAATGTCCCTATGGTAAAAAATGTTGATGTACACTCTTAATGCACTTTGAAATACTTTTTCAAAGTGCGTTGAGAGTGTCCCAAATTTAACACACTTTGAAAAATTTTTGTCAAAGTGCGTATTTTTTTCAAAGTGTGTTGCCACAATGCTCACTCCTACATGGCACCTGATCCCACCTCTGATGTTTTGGAGGTCCCTGTTTGCTCTGCTCCTATTTTGCTTTGTTTTATTGACTTTAAAGCTTGAATACTGTTCGTTATTTCCATAAAGGTTTTATCGTATCGAAATAAGAATGGAAATAACCATTGTTAATTGACAATACGTCATCAATGTTTCTAAATGTCGAGTTGAAGGCCACAACAGGTTTTTTCCACGTATAAAATGTTTAACAAATTCTTCTTCATATGAATACATGAATAATTCTGCTGATAACGGGGCACAATTGATACCCAGGGGAATTCCAGTAGACTGTCAGAAAACCTGGTCTCCAAAAACAAAAAGATATTGCCAATCAGAAACTTAAGATTCTTTTTGATGTCAACTTAAGAGTTCTCGTGTGTACAATTAGAATGATTTTTAACAAAATAATATTGCAAATGACCAATGAAAAGCAAATGTGAGCAAATGTACGAGTTCATTTTTATTGAAAAGGCAACTGTCAATGATGTCAGAAAGCCTGGACTTTAATTCATAGCGAGGAATGGTCATATGTTAAGTTGAAAAGACTTTTAAAAGGAAGATGTTTGAAAACATATTCTTTGAGTAGAAGTCAAGCGTATAAATTTAGAATCTATTTAGGCCAATTACTATAATGCATGTGAATGCCCTCTTTATTCAAGGTATGAAGCTTATTTCAACGTAAGTTATACGATACAACATAACTTGGGGAAGTTTAAGCCTTATTATTTAAAAAAGTAAACCTTTTCCAAGTTATGTTATATATCGTATAACATTCCTTGAATGAAAAGGATTCATTCCTTATGATTTTAAT